AGCCTTATACGCCAGAAAATACTGTATATTTAAAGTTTTAATAAAATCTCCATTAAACATAAAAGATTAAATGTAGCAGTATACATGTAGCAGTATACATTACCAATATTTTCTGTCCCCTTTTTTGTGCAGTCTTATCAGCGGAATGAGCCTTTGAAAGTCTGGTGTGATTAGTTTCTGTCTTTATCAGCCTTTCTCAACATATTTAATATGGAGAAACCATTGAAAAAAAAAGGTTTCAGCTTCAGGGAACCCCTGCTAATAATTATTATATTTACAGCTCATGGTACATTAGTATGATGGTCAGTGGGAAGAATGCTCCCTACATTTGTGGTCACTGGGAAGAAATAGCCCCTTAGATAGTTAAAAAGATCAATGGTGTCAGTGGAAACTGATCTGAGAGGCAGATATTGCTCACTGCTCAAGTAACCCCTGAAAACCACTGGAGGAACCCGACAGTTCCACAAAACCCTGGTTGCAAAAAATGGTCTATATAGTAGCTCCTATGGATTGCAGTTTCTCCCTGATGTGCACACTCCTGGCTGGGACTGATTCTTCCCTTGCTGCTTGGTACCATGCTCGGGGAAACATGTGCTCTGGTGCTGTGCTTTGAGGGATGCAAGTTTATTATGCAGAGCTTAAACCAAAAAAGGAGCAACATACCAAACTAATAAAGGAGTCTAAATAGCTTTATTGATCCCCAAAATATCTAATATGTTTCAGGGGCAAAACTCAATCCATCTTTACCAGGGCACAGCAATGCATGTAAGTGATTAAATGGACGCAGGGTATCAGATGCCAGAGAAATCTTAAACTATCTGCTTGCAAAGGGATCAGAGTGAAGCAATTTCATCAATCCAAAAACCTGTGGGGTATGTTTTGTCTCCGAAATACATTGTTTTGTGAATCATAAAAGCTATTTTGAACTCTTTAATTGAAAGTGATAATAAAGGATTTTTTATCAATAACAAAAATATCATATTTATCTGCTCTGTACCATGGTTTTACACTGAGCAGCCTAAATCCTCCTATTCTCGGACCCCTTGCTGGTGGTCTAGGCTCCTCCCTCCTGCCTAGTGCCTCCACAGCAAGCAGCTTTCTTCTTATTGGCTCGCTGGATGTGCTTGACAGTAGTGGGAGCCAATGGCTGCTGCTGCTGGCTCAGCCAATGAGCAGAGAGAGAGACCTGGGAGAGCCAAGGTTCTCGTGCACATCGCTGGATCAGGATGGGGCTCAGAGAAGTTTTGGGGGAGGGGGCTGGGGGTGCTTCTGCACACTGAAGGATTTTTACCTTCATGCATAGAATGCATGAGGGTGAAAAACTTTAAGCCTTTGCAACCACTTTAATCTTGTGATTCTTCTTTTGGTTTAAGCTTCGAGTGGCGTTCATGTGTAACCATTGAAGGGTAGCCTTGGATACATGTGAGCCACATACCAGATCCAGTGAGGTTTTTTGAATGAATGTCTTTTTTTCCCCTTTAATACTCTATATTATTAAAGGGGAAAGCAAGACCAAAGCTCTTTTGGCACTACTTCTCCTGGGGATCACAGGAGTGCACTTCATTCTGCACTCCTGTGACCAATATTCTGATGACAGTGGGCTAAAGCTGGTCCAAACTCTGGAGAGACCCTGACTTGAATAGTGGAATCCACCAAGATGACTGCACTTGCACTTGCACTGATAGATGACTGATAGTCACCGGCTCTCTGCTCACTGAAAACAGAGAACTGACCAAACAGCAGTCTTTGATTGCTCAGTTCTTGGTGTAAAGGCACCAGGGGAAAGATGCAGCATTGTAGTGTTGCTGCATCCACCTAGGCGAGTGTAAATTTTTTTTTTTTTTAATCCCAAACTTCTCTTTTAAGCATTGATATCCCATTGCCTCTTGAATGTATCCTATGGAACCAAGTGCATTATGGAAAACATGCTGGTGCTGTACTAGGGGGATGCATGTGCAGTATGGACAGTGCACAAATGCTGTGTTCAGGTGGCACATGTGCATTACAGGCCGTGCATAAAGTATTACTAAACATGTAGTCCTGAAGAGTTAAATATCTGATGCAATTCCCACCCAGGGGCTCTGTAAAGTGCTTAAAAGAAGAGTATGGCCAAAGCTTTTTAGCTATACTTTTCTGGTAGGTCACAGGAGCGCATTTACGTTTGCTTTCCTGTGACCCAGAATCAGCTGATAGTGAGCTATTGTCCACTGTCAGCTGACATGGCAGAGCCTCTCCAGGTTCTGGAAGGATCCTGACAATATTGTGAAGGGAGCAATGCCAATGTATCATCTTTTTTTCTTTTTTTGTCATCCTTATTGAAATGTCACAAATTGCCATTTCAATCATTAGTCACAGCAGCAGGCTGTAAAGCACTGTGCTGTGTCACAACATGCTGCACTGAGAAAATTAGTGCATGTCCTACTTTTTAAGCACACACCACTGCAGTGCAAAGGTGTGAACTGACCTCATAAAATCCATGGTAAATTGAATTGTCTATGAATTGAAACTCCGTTGGGCAGGGCAGACCAGCACAGGGCAGACCAGCAGATACAAAAACTGTAGCCGTCGACTTTTAAAGAACAGCCACTTACCTGTCGGTCCCATGGTGTCCCCCCCCGCAGCCTGTTTCTCCGGCCATCCAGTATTCTAGGAGGCCGGCATCTTCAGTGTGGGCACCCGGCTGTGATAGCTTGTGGTTTCACAGCCGGGTACCCACTGCACATGTGTGAGTAGCGCTGCGCTTCATGAATGGTCCTGAGTCTTCTGGAACCTGTCACATGTCCCAAAAGACTACAGGGAGGGAAGGAGGACCAGAAGTGGGAGTGGGTAACTGTCAAATTTGGGTACCCGCTCCCCCAAAGCTGCCAATCCTTAATGGGGAGTGGGGAAGCAGTCCTTAAAGCGGAACTTCCCCTTTTGGGTCGAGGTCCGCTTTAATCATGTCTGAACAGTTTTAAATAGAGTGACCATGTAAACATGTAAAAATGTGGTTTAGTGAAAATACCAGATAGATTTCAAGCTGAACTCCAGACAAATACTGTACAAAGGTCACAGATCTGCATTAATTAATACATTATTAATTATATTTTTCAGGGCAACTAATGTAAGCTTGGTATCAGTCTGCTGCAATCCCCTGTATGGCAGAGGTTAGATTACGAGAGGGAAGAGCAGCACTGGAAGACAATCAGGTTTCTTCACAAATATGCAGCCAAGAAACAAGCTGAAGAGGAGAAAAGAACAAGCAAACAAAGGGATGACTTTATTACTCTGCCGCTGCTCCTTAACTGTCCAGTCAGGAGACAGTCAGGAGGCAGAGGTTGAGTAGATGACACCACTGAGTTCTTTGCTTGTAACAGAGAAAGTGGTGTCATCCTCCTGGCCAGGGGCGGACTGACAATTCATGGAGCCCCCGGGCAATAGGGGATCATGGGGCCTCTGTGTTCTTGCCTAAACTCAAAGAAGCCTATGAAAAAGGTACCAGGGGCATCTCATGGGGCCCCCTACTGACCCGGGGCCCTCGGGCAGTGCCCGAGTTTCCAAATAGTCAGTCCGCCCCTGCTCCTGGCTGTGCTGTGTGTAAATTCGAGGGCTGAATAGAGAGAAACACAGATCCAATGGCAGGTAAAAAAAAAGCTCCCTTATGTTTTCAATCCATGTAATTAGATGATGTCTGGAGTTCAGCTTTCAAGGACTACTAAGCCTGAAATTGTAATTTTCTCTTTTTGTTATTTTCTATAAACGGGCTGCTTAAACAATCCACAAAAATGTTAGTAACTTTATTCTGCAGCTTTTTATTTTGTATTAGCTATAGTTTAACTATAAAGTAGCCTAACGTGAATTTGATCTCAAGAACAATGCAATTGTTATATGGAGGGCTCAGGATCACCAGCAAGCTGCTTGTAAAAGTAAAATGGTCTGTATTAGTCTCTCAAAACAAGCAAACACAAATATCTTTCTTCAGCAAAAGTAATGCAAACAGTTCATAATGCTGGTATCAAGGCTCACCACCAAACCTTCAGTCTCACACTAGGTTTAGGGTTCCCATTTGTTTCAGGGTGCCACAGACACGGGGTTCAGCAACAAGTGCCTCAGTTATCAGAGAGTTCACATTTCCTCATAGCTTGTGAACCAGTCCACTTTGCCTCTGACACCAGTTCTGATTTCATCTTGCTGCTTTTTAAGAATCCCTTCCCTGTGGCTTAAGCCCTTCAGGACCAGAGTCCTTGCGATCAGGGTTTGGAAAGTTCTTCCTAAATTCCAAAGCTCTTCAAAATCTGTCATTGTAGGTCCTTCAATAAGGACTTTTCAACCCAGAGAGTACTAAAAGTCAATCCTCTCTAGCCAGACCCAAGGGTGAAAACCCCCCTGAATACTCAATAATGTCTTCAAAACTGTCCCCCTTAAATGGACCACACCTCAAATACTGGGGGAATATGCCTGCCATCCAGGACACTTTCCTGGTGTCCTGTACATAATACAGGGGATGGACAAAAGAAATGTAAATGCTACATGATTTGCAAGTGTGAAAGTGATGACATGTTTTGCATTGAAAGCGGAAGTGATGAAACATTCTTTTGCTTCTGCTGTGTAATGAGACACCTAGCTAACAAGTGGGAAGCCTCACTTTCATCATTCACTGTGTAATATGGAGTCATGTCAGAGCTTACTGAGCTTCAACGAAGGCTGGTGCCTCTGTGACCGAAGTTCCCAATTTCTTTGTGGTGTCACAAGGTACAGTAGCAAAGGTTGTGAATGCATATACAGTTTCTGGGAAAACATCATCTTAGAAGCATAAGCGTGGTTGACATGTTCAACTGACCGAAAGAGACAAAAGGACATTGCACAGGATTGTGACCTGGAATAAGAAAACAACTGCTGCAAAAGTGAATGTAGAGCTCAATCTCAGTCTTCACTTCAACATCACATAAGTGTTCTGTAGTCCACAGAAGAGAACTGGGAAGGTTGCTCAGGCAGACCTTGTTCATATGGGTGTACTTAAGTGTACTCCCAAATGAGGGCCATGTTTGTCCACACTCATGCACAAGCAGGGGCGGACTGACAACTCATGGGGCCCCCGGGCAATAGGGGATCATGGGGCCCCTGTGTCCTTGCCCAAACTCAAAAAAGCCTATGAAAAAGGTACCAGGGGCATCTCATGGGGCTCCCTACTGACCCCGGGCCCTCGGGCAGTGCCTGAGTTTCCAAATAGTCAGTCCGCCCCTGTGCACAAGTGTTCTGTACATCCCCATGCAGGCAGTCCCATTCATGTCAATTGGGCCTGACAGTCATGTGGATGTGTGTCCCCATATACACAGTGTTTGCATTTGGGAACACGCACATACATACCCACATGGAGGGGCTGTGCTTGTGCAACCAATGTGTCCCAGTTAACATGAATAGGACTGCATGCACAGGGAGCACCTGTGCATCCTATGTGGGCAACACAGCCCTTGAATGAATGATACTTAACATAATTTAAGATTTTGGTTCAGCGCACAAGATGTTCCAAGGGTTCAAGATGGCTAGGAATCTAGAACGGGAAATTTTCTGCATTTAGCCTGAAAAAAAAATAGAAAGCAAATGCAACCAGACTGATAAGCTGCAATATACAGTCTTACATTATTGTTCCTGGGTTTAGATACAGTATATCTTAACAATGACAGGTGATAGTTTAGCTCTACTGAATTGCTAGTTAGGAAACCATCTGGGTGTTCGGAAATATCATTTCTTGCTTTACCATGTTCATTTTTTAATATACTCAGTTCCTGTGAACTCCTGAATTTTTTTGCATATTGAAGGCTAGTAAAAGATAACAAAAGCCAGCCAGTGATTTCTGTTTAGTGGCCCTTTAATATAAAATGGAACCAATTAGAAACTGAGAGACCATTTATCAACTTAGACCGCTGAGGAAGCCATATGCGGGGGAGATATTTTATTCCCAGATGTAATTCACTAGTGGCTGGCAATAAGTCATTTTTTGCCTAATGCAGTCCCAAATATATCAATTTCTTCCCCTACAAAAATGGACATGGATATCACCTACGCCTGTCCTGGCTAATTAAATGAGGCAATCGCCCCAGAAAAGTCAACATTTAATAATATTGTCCTTCTTCCTCCTACATAAGGACAGTCAGGTGCTCAGCTAACACAAGTCAAAGTCACAAGTTTATAGAAATATACTCAGACAGTGTTCATGGAGTCCATACCCAGAGCCTGGCAGTTATTAGGACTGACATTGGCTTTTTAAAATAGTAAGGATTCTCATATCACTATGTCCTTTACAAGAAAATAGGAGATGAATTCTTTGTCTAAACATTTGTGCGAGAAAAATAAAGAACTTGGTAAAAAAATGTTTTTTTAGCTTCTGAAAATCAGTTTTAGGCACAATAGTTTTGGCTCTGGAGATTTCAAGAAAATAATTTTCAGAAACAGAAAAATAATTTATCACACCTGAAAAATAAATATATCAATCCCCACAAAAAACAGTAAAATATGATACTTAAAAGATGCATTATTTGTAGGGGCATTTATAAATTAGTGAATGGGACTTTCTCCGGATATTTACTGGTGGTGGTGAATGTTTGGTGAATTCCTGATTAACTGCTTTATAAATGTGCCCCTTAAATTCAATTCAACCACTTAATGTAAAAATTATTGCAAAAAAAAAGTACAATTTAAATTATAAAATCAGCAGCTACAAATACTGTACCTGCTGGCTTTTAAGAAACAGGCACTTAAGCTGGCCATACTTGGCTCATTTTTTTATTTTTTTTTTGCTTAGCCACCGGGCTGAATGAAAAAAATTACCCAAGTCTCCATCCAGGACTCCCCACCATCAGAAGACACTGATCAGCACTGCAGCCAATTGGCTGCAGTGCTGATCAAAGCAAAATCTTCCAACAAGCCCATTAATGGGAAGCTGATTGTAAAAACGGCTAAAGATGCATTGAATTTTGACCGATCCCTGCTGTACCGCCCACGTTTCTTAGGTACGTAGTTACAATAGTTGGTAAGGTTGAATAAAGACACTAGTTCATCCTGTTCAACCTATGTGGGTGTGAGGTCATGTCAAAAATCATATCCCATATCTCTATATATTGTGTTAGCTAAGATGCCCATCTAAAAGTTTTTTTAAACTTTCAATGCTTCCCGCTTACACCACTGAAGCAAGTTCCACATCCTTACTGCTCTGAAAGTGAACCCCTACGCAGTTTAAAGTTAAAAAGCTTTTCCTCCAATTTCCTTAAGTGGCCCCCTGTCTTCTCATACTCCCCCAGAACTTAATAGTTTATTCTCTATGCTAGAATCACCACTGAGGTGTTTGTATATTGCTATCATATACCGTCTCTTCTCCAGGGTGAATAAGATTAATGTTTTTTAGTTGTTCCTCATAACTGAGGTCCTCCAGTCCCTTTAATAACTGTGTTGCCATTCTCTGGACTCTCTACAGCTCCAGCACATCCTTTCTGAGACTGGTGACCAATCTATCTATGGCTGGCTTTACTAGATCATGGACCCCAGTGCTGTCTTCCTTGAAGCCAATTGTTTGCTGAGCTTCAGCTCTGCGGAGATCCCATCTTGGGTATGGGAGTCACTTGTGATTTCCTAAATTCTCCAAACTGGCTCCCCATTGCACATGCACGAGGCATGGAAGCTGTGGTTGCAGTAATGTGTTCTTTTATTCTTAGGATATTTTGTTTTCCCTGGTGATCCTGCCAATAAAACACGTCCTGTCCTACGATGACAATGCTTGTTCGCTACACCTAAGGAGGAGCAGGCATGCCACCCTAATCTGTTCACTCCTGATTTGATCTGCAAACATCTTCTCCTCTCTGGGAAATTTTCCATTGGGGATACCTGGTCCAGTGACAATGAGTTTATCTCATGTCCTGTTTTGTTTTCAGAGCAGAAAATAAGGGAAAATCTTACTGATAAGCAGGGGCGGACTGACAACTCATGGGGCCCCCGGGCAATAGGGGATCATGGGGCCCCTGTGTCCTTGCCCAAACTCAAAAAAGCCTATGAAAAAGGTACCAGGGGCATCTCATGGGGCCCCCTACTGACCCCGGGCCCTTGGGCGGTGCCCGAGTTTCCAAATGGTCAGTCCACCCCTACTGATAAGATAATTGTAAGCATTTCCTAGCCTATCCCAAAGAAAAAAACAAATTTTTGGCTATAGACATACTTTATGGTACAGCTCCGTAAAATGTAATTCTTTCATTCTCTGTATTTAGTTTTTTTTAAATGAGGAAAAAAATATTTTATGAGTTTATAAGGCTTATTCAGTTAGGAAGACTGCATTCTGCAAAGTAGAGAAGCCATTGAATCTAATTCAAACTCATTGATCATTGTTCTGGCTTCATAAACATCATTTCTGTTGGTCTCTGTGGGTTAATGATATGTGTACATCTTTGTTAGTCTCTGCATTACTTTGTTCAATAACTGTACGGGGAAGGCAATGTGAACACATGGAAGGTGTCATGTAGCTGTAGCAGGATAAATAAACTGTAATTTTAGACCTTTCCTAACAACACACCTGGTTGTTGCTGCCACTGCTAGAGACAGATGAAGGAGCCCATGGCTACGAATGACCTTGTATATAGGCCAGACTCACAATCCATAAAGGGAATTCGCAGTGACCTACGTAAGCCTGATCACAACCTACAACAACTGCAAGGACAATTTTCCCATTTAGCCAAGACATGGAGACCTTGCAACTGTCAGGTTGTTGGCTGCAGAGAAATCTGATTGGGAAGGAGAAAATAATGCTGAGCATTTTAAATAAATAGAACTCAAAGGAACGGTATAATTTATAGAAGCGGATACCTTAAAGCATATCTAAACTCAGTAGGAAACACACTTGACGTACTGTTAGCCTATGGTTCCATGAACACCTTTCCTTTCTTCTTGCCTTCTCTGAATTGTTATCTTGATGCATGACAGCTAACCTGTTTCCCTTTGCTATTGATGTCAATAATAATGCCTTAATACATGATGGTCCTGTGCTCTGAGACTTCATATTACCACTTTTTGTATTTTGCGAACCATGTCTTTTACTGAATAAAAATATTGAACTAGAAATCATACCTAAGCGCAAAGTGATTGTAAAGGTGCATTTAAAAAAAAAATATCAAAAACATGTCATACTTACCTGCTCAGTGCAATGTGTTTGCACAGAGCAGCCCCGATCTTCCTCCTATTGGGTCCTCCGCCTGCACTCCTGACCCCTCCCCCTTGCTGAGTGGTCCCATAGCAATCCGCTTTGGGGGCACTTGTGCATGCTCACTCTTGAACCAGCTCTTTGTGTCCATAAAACACACATAGAGTGTGACTCAGCCCCATTCCCGACTCCTCCTCACTGACTGTGATTGACAGCAGCAAGAGTCAATGGTTCCCACTGCTGCATCAAAGACAATTAAGAGGGAGAGAGCCAACAGAGCCTCTGCTCTCATGCACATCACTAGATTGTGTTCAGTCTCAGATAAGTATTTAGGGGGTGCTGGGGGGTGGGGGTAGCTGATTGCAGAAGATTGTTTATCTTAAAGCATAGACTACATTAAGGTAAAAACCCTTCCTTCAGGACCATTCAAGAACAAACATACCTCCTAATACATTTTCAGTCCTTAAGGCTGGCCATATATTATACAATTATCTTCCAATTTTCTGCCCAATTTCCTTTAGATTTACCTTCAACTGTGTAGTGCAAGGGCCTGCCTAATTGGATACAACTGAAAGTGCTGCTTAGGTTTGTCCTCCTAGTATATGGTTTTTGGTAAATCTAAACCAAAAATCTCCAGATAATTGTATAATGTATGGCCAGCCTAAGTCTGGTATACACAATGAGAATATCGGAATGATCACCTGATTTTTTTTTTATGCATGTTAGTCTCAACTGAAAATGAAGGGATTACTAAAGTTTCGAAAATTCTCGTACGACAGAATACAACTTCAGAAGTGATGTAATGTATTGTCTTGTATTGTAATGTATTCTTCGTTTCTGAACATGTGTGGGCTTACTCTTCTAATTTTTTTGGGGTAATGAATACTGTGTGGATTAAATTAAAATTGTACAATCTGGTATCATAAAAAAAAAAATGTTTGTGTCTGTTCCTTTGAATAATTTTGGCTGAAAGCTGTGCACTAACGATCAGATTATCAAACAATCACTTTGAGTGCAGTATTTTTCATCTGATTTTCTGATCGTGTATACTTGGCTTTAGAT